TGTATCTGAACTTCAGAAAGGCTTTTGCCAAGGTCCCACGTGACCTTGTCATAAAGACAAAACTCCTGTAAGATGGATAGACAACTGAATCAATAGCCACAAGCAAAGGGCAATTATAAATGGATCCATGTCAAAATGGCAGGAGGTTTTGAGTGGCGTTCCACAGGGGTCTGTCCTGGGCCTAGTGCTGTTCAATGTGCTTATTAATGATTTTGATGCTGCAATTGAGATCTTATTGAGCAAGCTGGAAAATAACCTGACACAGGAGGATTGTGAATACATTGGAGGACAGAAAATCACAACAGATTGGAAAACTGAGATGGAGCTAACAGAATGAAGTTCAATGCTGACAAATGCAAGGTGCTACACCTAAGGAAGAATAATTAAAAAAACCACAAAAACCAAACGGGTGACACCTGGCTGCGTGACAGGACGATAGAGAAGGATCTGGGAGTCTTGGAAGATTGCATACTCAATATGAGTCTTCAGTGTGATACAGCCACACAAAAAGCAAACGTGGTTTTGGGGTGCATGCATAGAAGCATTACATGCAAGACATGAGAGGTAAGTACCTCTCTAGTCAGCACTGATTAGGCCTCATCTAGAGCACTGTGTGCAATTTTGGGCTCCACATTTTGCAAAGGATGCGGAGAAATTTAAGAGGGTCGAGAAACAGGTGACAAAAATAATAAAGGGTTTGGAAAGCATACAAGGAGAGATTGAAGGAAATATATTGTAGAAAAGATACATAAGAGGAGGGAAGATAGTATTCTTCAAATACTTGAAGAGCTGCCATAAAGAAGAGGGAAAATACATTTTCTCTCTTGCCACAGAGAATAGGATATAGAGCAGTGGCTTGAAGTAGCAGCAAAGTAGGTTTAGATTAAATATAAAAAACCCCAAACTTCTTCATTGTAAAAACAGTGAGGCAGTAGAATAGATTCCCTAGGGAAATTGTGGACACATCATCACTCGAGCTGTTCAAGAAAAAGGTGGACAGTTACTGGTCAGGTATGGTCTAGTCACAGCTATGCCTATATTCTACTATGGACATTCCCTATGCTTTGATGGTTGCCACATGGGGCCAGGAGGCAATTTTTTTCCTCCTCAGCTGTGTCAGAGTTTATTTTTCCAAGCCTTCCTCAGAGGCATTAAGTGTTGGCTGCAGCCAAGGCTGGGTATTAGGACTGGGGATATGCCAGTGCTCCATAAGGAGAATATATCATCTTTGGTTACTGAATATTTTGAAAGCATGATTCTTGTATAGAAATAGGACTGGACCATGATGACTTACAGGTGTTTGTTATGTGAGTATAGGAAAATTTTACACAAAAAAATCTCACCTATGTAGTGGCTCTGCAAAATCTTCCCATTGTAGCAGTGCCTTCACGTTCCTAAGAAGCAAATCTCCAAAAAGTAGATGATGAGAACATCACCCTTTCTCTGTGCTGTGTGCCCCCGACCTTCCTTCTCCCGCCCCATCTACCTGACATATTCATAAAAAGAAAGAGGACCATTTGTATCAGCCTTGTAGCAGCACAATACACATTATGGGTGTGAGAAACAGGTCCTATTTGATTTGGATTCAGCCCAAATCAGGGACAGTGATTTGATTCGTTGATTCAGATCACTGTCCCCAATTCGATTCAGCTGAATCCAGATCAGAGAATCAGCGATTCAGCCATAGACACAGCTTTAAATGTTTTTTCTACATACCTCAAGGTACCAGCATGGCTTGTGAACACTATGATGCTGGGGCAGATGCAGCATCCCATAGAAGCGTGGGGGGCAGGGCCCCATGTGCTTGGTGGTGAAACTGGAAGTGGACCAGAAGTACTTCTGGTGATTCATAGATTCATAGATTCATAGATGTTAGGGTCGGAAGGGACCTCAATAGATCATCGAGTCCGACCCCCTGCATAGGCAGGAAGGAGTGCTGGGTCTAGATGACCCCAGCTAGATGCCTATCTAACCTCCTCTTGAAGACCCCCAGAGTAGGGGAGAGCACCACCTCCCTTGGGAGCCCGTTCCAGACCCTGGCCACTCTAACTGTGAAGAAGTTCTTCCTAATGTCAGTCTAAATCTGCTTTCTGCTAGCTTGTGGCCATTATTTCTTGTAACCCCCAGGGGCGCCTTGGTGAATAAAACCTCACCAATTCCCTTCTGTGCCCCCCCGTGATAGTCCATGGGGGGGGACCCTGCATGTCCCCCCAGACCCAGGAGGCACCAGTTGCTGAGCCAGGGGGTGCATGCTCCCCGGTGGACCCAGAAGTGGTCCAGAAGTGCTTCTGATCCACTTCCAGGTCTGCTGCTGAGCACGCTGGGGAGACCCTCATGCTCCTGTGGGATGCTCCATCTGCCCCAGCATCACAATATTGATGAGCTACCTGGTACCTTGAGGTATGTAGAAAAAACATTAAAGCTGTGTCTATGTCCGAATCTCTGGATCTTTCTGAATCAATTCGGAGGGTTCTTATTTGATTCAGAGAGATTAAAAGGTCTCCTAATTAGATTCGGATTCAGAGATTCAGCCACCGAATCAGGCTGAATCTCCGTTGAATCAAATCAGGGACCAAAGTTTCACACAGCCCTAATACACATACCATTTTGGGCACTAACCAGCACTTGAAAAGACTATCTCTCTCTGAGACATCAATTCACCCCATTTTTCTTGAAGTGCAGGGTTCTCTTGTCAAAAGCTCTGACTAATGCGCAGGGATCCTGGTTTTCTCTGATAAAAAAAATCCTGAATTTTTGGGTTAAAAAAGTAACCCGAAATCCACATTTTTCCATTATTAAAATGAAATACCACTAACACATACATACACACACACACACACACATGTATACACATACACATATGTATGTGTATGTGTGTATGCTATATATATAGTGGTGCTTCATTTTGATCATGGAAAAATGTGAATTTCGGGTTACTTTTTTAACCCAAAAACAGGATTTTTTTACTAGAGAAAACTAGGATCTCTGCTCATGAGAAATGCAATCACACTCTAGCTCAGAGGGCCTTTTTCCTTCTATTATCATGTACACATAACATATTTCCTATTGTACTTCAATTGCACTGTGTTCCTAATTGTCTCAAACCTGTTTGCAGGGGACCTCCCGAAGTTTCTCCTAACCAAGGTTCACACTGAGGTGGCTCTGGGAATAACTCCTTAACCCAGCAAGCCTCAGATCTACTGCCCTTACACTGGATCTTGCAGCTACAGCAAGGGAATCTCTGCCAGCCCTATGGGACCACCGCATTGGGTTATGAAAGAAATGTTTGGTCCCCCTTTCGATAGAAAGGGCTAGACTGGGATATTACTCACCCAGAAATCACTCTCCACAGGCAATCAGTAGGGAGAAAAAAGAACAAAAAAATAAAAGAATTGTGCAAGCAAAAGTGATCGTAGTTTTAGAAGCAGAAATAAAAAGACAAGAAAAGTTTTCTACCCTCTTATCTGGCTATATACTCTATCCTTCATGAGAGATCTGGCAGTCTCTCCAAGATTCAGTCTTCCTG